AAACATTTAAAAAATACAAATTGACGTAACAAGTGACACATACGAAAAGGAAGCCCATGAGTCTCATCGAGAGGTTTACAATTATCATCTGTTAAGGTAGAGCACATCTAGAAGTGTCCAATTTAAACAAAGTAATACTGTGTGCACACTGCACGAGTAACATGCACCAAAGTGTCGTGAACTGCAAGATTGTTCAATGTTTGATAAAAGTGTCCCGAAAAATAGTAACCGGCATATTTGTAGACGTTTTTGTTTTACCTTAAATATAGGCGTAATTATCTATAGCGGATGTTTTATGCGCCCTATTCATGTTTAATTTAGATAGGTTAGGAGGCAGGCTGTTTCGATACTGCCCCTCAGGTGTCAGGGACAACCCAGGCTAAAGAGACAGCAACGTCCCAGCAAACAGACTGAGATGCTCGAGAAAAAAAAAACGAAAAAAAAAGACATTCCCAAACGACTATCAAACTTGAGCCTTGTGCGTGCTACGGCGGCTTGCCAGACCACTGCACCATAAATGCCGGTCAAATCAGACAGGGAAGTGAACCATCTTGGTAGTGTCATCTTTGTCTGTACTCACCTTGAATTACATGCGTAGTTATTGACAGTGGCGTCTATACATCGGCATGTTCCAGCACATCCATCACTCCAGATAGAGCCTTGTCCATACTGCTTGCCGTTCGTGTAAACACACTTATCTACAGAAGAAAAACACACTTGTCAAAAGAAACATGGTACACATGCCTATTAAAACAATATACACACTTATCTAAAGAAACAAAATACACGTGTCTATAGGAAAAATACATTTGCCTATTCAAACAAGTACACTTATCTATAGAAACAAAAAAACATAATTTGTCTGCAGAAACAACATCACTTATCCGTAGAAACGAAATTCAACTTACACGCAGAAGAAAATAAACATATGGAGCACAAATAAAACACCCATATCTATAAAAAAAAAACACACCCCAACAAAGCACACTCATCCATACAAACACAAACAAATATTATAAAATAATATCTATAAAATCCTACCTTGAACAATAACGAGAGCGGTGGTGGATGGGACGTTCTGAGGTCGTGGGGTGAGAGTCACTTTCATGTCACACTTGAGGTCTTGGCAACAGGAGTCACTCGGGTCGGGAACCTTGTAGCACTGCTGTGGGATCGGCCCGTAGTACTTGTTACATCTGGAGACATTAATTAGAAATTGTAACTATAAATCAAATTATTGCGCCCTCATAGACGTATTTTAGATGATTTGGAAGGCGGGCTGCTTTGATTTTGCACGAAAAAGACCATTGTTTGATTCCCGTGTAGGGAAGATGTATATCGAGGGTCACAGTCTTTCTTCTGGGACGTTTTATCCATTTCAACTCCGGTTGGCTCTGCTTCTAAAAGATATAAAATGTGCCCAACGCGGTCGTAAAACACCTACTTTAATAATACGCATGCACGCACACACACACACACATACAAACACACACACACACACACACACACACACACACACACACACACACAAACACACAGACACATGAACACACTCGGATACAGACGCAAAAACCCACTCACACTCACCTTAATACAAATACATACACACAATGCGCGATCTCGAAGTAGTATTTCTTCTTAACTCATTGTAGATGCTATTGTCTAGCGCTAAAAATAAGAAGTACAAATATGATTCATTATTCATTAACACTGTTGAGTCGTATTTTCTTTATCTGAAACTTATAAAGGCTGGCAACAATATGCATAAGGAGAAATATGCGAATTCGAGTTTCTTATTTGTGTGATTGTTCAGAGGGTGAAGCAACCATGTTTTGATCTTCTGAACGTGAGGCATTATTGTATATTATGTCCACTACATCTTTAAAGAGTTAAGCCTTTATACGCTCTGACGACAAGCAAGCCAATCCCCAGTTACAACAGGAATGTGTGGCATCGTAGTGAAATCAGGCGCTCGTCAACATATTGAAAGTGAAAAAACCCACATCTTTCCGTTCGTGGGTTAATTTCTATTGAATTAAAAATAAATTGGGGTGGGGAAGGGGGGTGGGTGGCTCAACGCCTTTTATAGCCTTAAAAAAGACATTTCTGTGTGGATTTTACCGAAAAATGTTGATTCAAGGAACACATGAAGTAAATTAATTTTAGCTTGAAGGGACACTTAAGCTTTGCAAAACATCAAACTGTGGCGTCCATTTTCTCGTCAAATTTACCTCTGATATTTAATTTTGACGACCCAACCCTTATCTAATCGATAATTCAAGATGAGTATTTTTTTTTCTCAGAAAAAGCAAAGCAAACGAACAGGCTTAAATATTACACCAATAATATTTCATGTGCCTAAAAATTGACGAGCACCTGATTCCACTGCTTCGTGACACACAGGCCTGTGCCACAGGAAAATAACAATAAATGAGGATTTACCTGTCCGTGCACTTGAATTGTCCTCTTTGGGCATCGATGCACTCACACTTGTAGTCACAACCGTCATTCCAAGCTTGGTACTGCCCGTATGATTTACCGTTGTAAACGCACATGCCTGTAGAGAAGATAGCCCACGTTAAATTCATTAAGAACGTAGCGGACACACGATCAACAGATCAAAGGCAATGACGTTGCACATTTCGAACTATCAAAGACAAATGAGTAACAACACGAATAAACTTATTTCATAAATGAATATTATGACAAATAAAATATATGGTTAAAGAAAAGTTTATTTTCCCAACCACCCAAAGCACCAACAACAACAATGAAAAACAAAGCAAAAAAAACAACAACAACATTTTTTAAGCCCAGCAAAACAACCACATACACAACAAACAAAACAAAACAAATTCCCCTGTTCATGTAAGACATGACAGAAACCACTCCGCCACCACTGATATTGCTCACAAAATCAAACTTTTAGAAATAAGGGTTTCAACTTTACTTTTGCCAGTCCTGATCGTTAGATTCAACATGAGCCTTTGAAGAACAAATGTTTTATATCGTTGTCTCATAATTAGTTGTAGTAGTACAAAGAACAATTGAGGTGATAAAGTTGTGGTTCATAAGACGCATGCTGCGTATCCCATGGACAGCTAGAAAAACAAATGAAGAAGACTTGGTTGAAGCGAATTGCAGACGACAGCTTATGACAAATATACAAAAGCGACAGGCAACTTCCATTGGACACACAATGCGGAAAGAAGCATTGGAGAATATTGTAACAACAGGCACTTTTGATGGATAGAGAGGCAGTGGCAGACAGAGGGAAAAAATACTGGACAAGTTGACAACATGGCTGGGGACAGCAAGAACGACAGACACCATCGCTGCAACGCAAGAGAGAGTGAAGTGAAGGTCCATGATCGCTCACGCCAGTCGGCAAGGCACCAGATGATGATGAGTGCTCATTTATTTACCTGCGGGTCCATTTCCAGTTCCTGTGATGATGCCAGGCGGGGCAGGTGTGGGTGTGAAAACCGGTGGAGGCGTCGGTCCTGAGGGTGGGCTCAGTGTCTGTCCATTGGGTCCTGAACAACGAATGAAAAACGTTAGCTCATGTGCACACTTGTCCAATGTGTTGGAGTATTTTAATAATTTACTTTCCATTAACCCCCCCCCCCCCAAGGAAATAAATAAATAAATAAATAAATAAATAAATAAATAAATAAATAGATTTAAAAAAACAACAACATTATAAATAGAAATTAATTAATCAAATGAAATTTAAAAAACACAAAGTAAAAATCAACACAATTTAGCAATTTAGACCATTTAAGAGGTGGGCTTCCGACCCTGCCTATCGGGGCCAACCCCGGATGACAGGGATACAATATCCCAGCAGAAAGACCGAAATACTCAATAACATTTTCTTCGCAATCGCGAATCGAACTCGGGTGTCCTGTTTGCGACAGTGAAGCGCCTAACGACTACACCATGGAGTAGAAGGATTGCATTGGGTGAGAAAACCAAAGAGGCCAATGCTTCCTTGTTAGGTAAGAATAGACTTTTGTTTAACCGTTTGATTGTTGCTATGGATATGTAATTGTAGTATGTATTCTGTAACGTGTGCTGTGAGGTGTTTCTGGTTCACAATGGAACTCAACATTCGACTCAATTTGTGCCAGTTGAAAGGCAAGGCGGAAAGGTGGAGCGCACTCTGAATGAAAAAGTTATTTACACAATATAAGCACACTCCCTTGCACGCTAAACAAAATCTTACGTACGAACACAGACACACACTCACACTAATGCATACACACTTACCCGCCCACACGTATGCACAACACGCACACACACACACACACACACACACACACACACACACACACACACACACACACACACACACACCCCCTCCCCCCACACACACACATACACACACACACACACACTCACTCACACACACATACACACAAATATAAACAGCTGACTCGATCCCCAGACCCCCAGAGCTCACATTAATAATCACACTCATTCAATTTCATTCTCCCTTCACGTATATTAGGTTTTGTCTTCTCTATCTTATGATTAAATTATTTTGTTAGATTTATTTTGTTTGATTTTTTCCCTTTAAATGATACATTTTATCTGAATTGTGAACATAAATCGTTAGGATCATAGTACGATTGCTTATTTCCCGTTTTGTCGCTTTGGGAAAACATACAGTGATTACCTAAGTCAAACCTGTAACTTGAGCGAAAGTGACAATGTCTTTAGAACCGGAGTTTTAGTATACGAAACAAAACCCTGTAATGTGAAGATATAAAACAAGTACCTGGCAATTTCACACTACTTATTACTCCAGAAACCTTTTAAAGAATTACTTAAGCAATAAGTGATTTCTGACCATAAAGGATTGTCTCTCTGTGTGAATAACCACAGTGAGTGAGAAACTTACCTGTGGGCGCTGGGGTAGGGAAGGTGTTACAGTCAGGTACCACGCAGCACGGGTCGTTGGGGTTTGCGATCAGCTTACACTGAGGTGGCAAGTTGTCGAAGGTGGGGCATCTGAAAGGAATATTAAATAATTTATATTATTATTACTGATATGTTGTTTTAAAGAGATAATATAGGCGAAAGCGACGAGGGGGGGGGGGGGGATTTGAGAAACAGACAGAAAGCCTGCCAGGGCCACCCCAGGCTTGTTGCGAAACAACAGCCCAGGAGATACTTCGCTACTCTAGAATTACGCAATTCTATCTGCTCAGTGTCTAATTTAGAGAAATTTGATGTAAAAAATATTGAGTTTCCCAATATTTCAAGCTTTTTCGAATGCAGTTCTTTGAATATCTTGATAATGACTCGGAATAATCTTACGGGGATGCCCCTTGTGCAGTGATGTCGGTCCTTCACACAAGTAATAAGTAATTTTACGATATTGAAAGAGCAGATGGAGTATGATTTCTGACCTTATGTCTTATGTTCTTAGTAACTCAAAAGAAAAATGTCATATAACTTTGTAATTTTGCAATAGCAACTTTATGAAACACTTGCTCATTCAGAAATCGAAGTCAGGGGCTCTGGCCGTTCAGAGGTACAGTGTGCGCCTCTCTTTCAGAATATCCGGGTTCGCAACTTGACAGCGACGGAAACATTTCTTCTCTAAAATGTTCTCCTTTCACCTCTTTTCCTGCTCTCTAACCACGTTCTGTCGTCTGCTTTTTGTCTCCACTTTATGCCCCCTTCCCCCTCCCCCTTTATCACGCTCCTCTGGGCTCCTGATTATTTCTACAGTCTTTCTACTGCAACTCCCTGGCTTCTTCTTACACACCCCCTTCCCCCCTGGCGATCTTAGGGTAGGTAATACCTAACACCCAGCCTTCTCGGATGAGGGCAAAAAATCATTGGAGGTTCGGAGAACTATCAGAGGTTCCGTGGACAAGTTGCACACATTAATTATCCTTTGGTTGTCCTAAAATTGATAAGTGTAGGCTTCTGCCGCCACCCGAGCAAAAATAAAATACATTAATTCCAACCAGACTCAAAATGCGTTTAGTGTCCAGCGCGCTGATATGGCCTTATGCAATTGCCAGCTCCGTAAAACACTTACCCCCCCCCCCCCCCCAAAAAAGGGGGGGGGGGGGGGGGGGGAGGGGACTCACGTCTTCTATGAGGAACTAACAGCACAGAGCCGTATCGTTGCACCCAAGATGCCTGTTTTTGTTTTAGCTAGAAATTCCACATAATGAAGCTTTTTTTTTTTTTTTTCTTTTTGTCCGCCGCTTATACCCTTTTGGGTGTCGCAGGAAGAAAGAGACGTCTCTTTGTCGCCAGCCAGAGAGCTGGGGTCAAGGGGGATGCCGTACATAATGAAGCAATGGCATTTATTAGAACTCACCTTTCTTTGCAAGAGTAGTAGCCGGTGGTGACGTTCTCACACTTGCACACTTTACTGCAGCCATCTTGCCAGGTTTGTCCTTGTCTATAGTAGACTCCCTGATACACACAGTAGCCTGGCGGTGGATTAAGGGCAGGAGGGTGGTGGTGGAGAGGTGTTATTACAATGTATTAATGACGTTTCGATGGGAAGAGAGAGAGAGAGAGAGAGAGAGAGAGAGAGAGAGAGAGAGAGA